AAACATTGAGATATTATATTTCAAGTACAAATTAAATTCTTCTTTATTTATAAAACTTTAAATTGTTGTTATTAATATAAAAAGAAGTCGAATAATAGAGGAACAACTGTTGTGTTAGGCGAAGCATCATTTTATTATTAATATAGTAGGTCTTAATTTAAATTAAATTTAATTAATATCTTAACACAATGTATTCTACTCGTGATTTTCAACAATGAAATCTAATTTACATGACTATGTATAAACCTTCCACAAAGGAAGTATCACGTGATTCTTGCAGATACCAAATTTGTTTCAAATCTCTTCAACCTAAGTAATAAGTATTCAATATTGCAATAATAATGAATTATTTCTACTAAAAATCGATCACTAAGCTAATGGATATAATAACACCCAAAATTGAAACTGATAACAGTCTAAAGAATCTTAATCTTACTGAATTAACGATGTCCATTATATTGAATCTATGTAAATGTAAGAAATGTTATTAGAATAAGGAGAAAGAAAAAAAGAATGAAAGATGATAATGAAATAATTACTGTTTTTGTTATTTATGAAGTTGTTTAATTTATTAAGATTATCTTAGTAATTATTCTGCATTAAATTTTATCATAAAAAATAAAAAGTGTAGGTAATCATTTATTTATAACAAATTCCTAACGTTACATGGTTGTTGTAGGTGTGTATTTTAAGATGTATAAAATTAGCAACCGTCAACGTTCAAGATAATTAATTACGAAGACACGAGATCTCCGAAGACTACAGCATAGGACCGTACGAAGTGAATCACAATATCTCGCCTTGGCATTGGCAGAGGCGGCATCGGTCGCGATCCTCACCACACTTCTTCCGATTTAACAGTCGCCGCCACAGCAGCACGCGTTTGGACATCTCCTCCAGTAGGTCTCGGCTGCGTGCCGCTGAAATCACGCGTGCGTTATCTGCGTGGCGAATCGGCCCTCCATCATCATCTCCATCATCTCCCGACTACCGCGGAAGGCCGCGGTAAACCGGCGACTTACTTCTTGCAGAGGCGCAAGACGCAACACATCTCGAACCGATCGCGAACTGACCGCTTCATGCTGTGTGCTCTTCGATCATTCGCGACTTTGAATTTATAAAAATTTTAATATTTTCTTCACACGTGTTTACTAAAAGAAATTTTCTTTTATTTATAAGTGGTGATTTCAACGTGTGTTTAAGAAAGAAACTGAGAGATGTGATTATATCCGCGACTTTTTTTTTTTGTTTTGAAGATATGTCTGAAGAAATTTCAAGGTAAATTTAAAAAATAAATTTTATTTGTTGTAGATAACCTGAGTCGGAAAAGTTTTTCCCATGGTTAATTTTTTTGGTATTAAGACAAATTGTCGATAATTTTCTTCTTATCGGGTATACAAGTGATTGATGACAAATTACCTTTCTCGTCTGGTTGTATTCGAAGTACGTACAAGTGCCATAATTGTAACCGCGTTCTTCTTTACCGTGTGAAACAATAGCTAATCGTTCATGATTACGAAGAATCCTAAGTAATTACCGAATAAAAGGTATCCAATTCAAACACTACAAGAAATTACGACGGGAATAAGAAAGATCAATGCTACAAGACATAGACTACAAAACTTGTAATTTTAAAATACTATCATTGAGAGTGATCAAAAAACATTAAATCTGTTAAGAGAAATTTGGGCGATTTTTCAAAAGAAACAAAAATAAAGATAAAAGAAAACGTGACCGTCGCATAACTGTAAACATTGGCATACTTCGTAACCGAAAAAATTTCACTTTGGCTCCAAGCTGCACGCCATTTTATTTTAATTGAAATATTGAGTTTCCCAGTTCATATCATTACCTTGTTTACCTATTCCGCTAATAACAGCACTTGAAAACTAATAGTAAATCATTTGTAATGTTCAAATCTCGTAAATCTAACAATCTTTCTTATTTTACAACGTTATTCGCGTGTTGGGCGTTCGCATTCCGCTTATGCAAATATATTGTTTATATTCGTAATTAATTATACAAATGAGCTATTGATGTTTGCGAATTTGCATATATTTATATATGGCGTGTTTCTTTAGAATTAACAATATTATTTAATTTGTAAAATTAATAAATGATTTACAAATATATTGAAAACAAGTTGAATTCAATTGTTGCACCGCGACTATAACAAGTATTCGTTACGGCTCCTTATAAGCGGAGAGATCTTAATGAGTAGCTTTACAAGGTAGAACTTTTCTCAGGATTAAAACAAGAACGAAGAACTGTTAACGCGACAGATCATAATTTGCAACTTGCAAACGATTTTATTTATTAGTTATTGAGTATCGACTGTAAATTGGGGTCATTTATTATGTTCTTATGGTCTGTAGTTTAAACTGACGTCTCTAACTATCAGTTTGTTACTTAATAAACTGATTGATTTAGATTTGTTTCATTTAATGATTTAGCTTTTGTATATACTATATGAAATATTTCAGATTTATTTATTGATAATTAATGGATTTATTTTGACCACAATATTCTGATATAAGTTCCATGGTAACAAGGAAAACGTCCAAATAAGGAATTTATTTGATATGGTTTTTCTCCTTTTCTTTTTGATGCAGTTCACTCTTCAAGGATTTCCTGCCTCTCAACAACTGCCATTTTATAGCTCTTAATAATCTAATAAACGATGATACCATAATTTTGATAATATCTCAATGCGATTAAATTCTAACATAGAATCCAACGATGTTGACACCGCCTATTTGTATGTCTTTCCGTGATGTTGCTATTAGTCGTATCATTGATGCAATTATGGATCTCTCTGTTTTTGTTTTTCATTTCGTTTAAACTTGATTTTACATGTTGAGATTATTTGGGCGTCTCAAAAACTCCACTATAGGTGGTTGAATTGAAAGAAAGAGATTTGTTTACTTGTGGACAGAGATCTTGGGTTTTAGGTTTCAAAATATAAGTCGCAATTGTATTATTTAAGAGAGCCAGAATTAATGGTACATGTATACTGTATATTATCGAGAAGAGATATCATGCATCCAGGAAAAATTTGATCCTAACTCCACCAGGGCTTACAGATCGTCAAGCATTCGTGCTATGAGATTAAAATAAAATGAGCGTCATCGCCGAGCATGCTGATAGCTAAACTTTATTAGATCATATGTTGATGATTGCTGTCAGAAAGTAATTTATAGAAGCTACTTGACATAGCCGTTTGAGCTTTACACAAATATGTATAAAAGTTAAGACGACTAATACCCTCCGAATCTTTTTGATGTTAATAGCTTCCCCTACAACTAATTGTGTTTTTGAGGTATCATCAATTTTGTTCTATTTTTTATCCATGATTTTAATTTTTATCATACAAAAATCATAATAACATCTCATCATTGCAAGCTGGAAGACTCAATTTTACAATCAACCTCAGCACCACAAGCAGCAACATATAGAAGAAGTCGATTAGTAGTATAAAAGCGACTTATACCGTGCTAATTTTTAGGTTGGTACTGAATCTGCACACGACCATTGCCATTCTGAGAAATATCGATAGAGTAGGAACATTTTTGTTTAACGTCGTTATTCGTCGAACAGTATCCATTTATACATAATACATTATACTTTTCATCGAACAGAAATTTTTACAACCATTTAGAGTATATTATGTAATAGATCTTTTAAGGTTTCCCTCAAAAGATTAAGTGTAGGTAAATTTAGTTTTGTCTTGTTTATTCAAAATTAAACTGTTATTAAAATAGAAACAATTTTAATTTACAAAAGAAGTTGATCACCTTCCAATTAAAGTGATGACCCCATTTAAGTTACATTTTCCATCCCAGTATGGTATAGGGACAAAGAGAACGTTACAGATTCTCGGCAAACTTCAAATATGAAAAAACGTCTGATCAGACATTCACCTATCGCTAAGAACGCTATTACAGCCAGCGTTAATTATTATGTAGTCGTTCGTGCAAACCCGAACACAAATCATTCACGTCACAGATAACTTCATACATACCAGCATATTAATATTAGGCTTGAAAATAATACTTAAATCAAAGATGTCATAAAAGCGCTGTTGTACAAATTCACTGTCGATTCTGTCGAAAATGAGTAATCAGACGAGTCGATCAAGATTCTTAGGATGAAACACCAACAAGATCTCCTTGTATTTGTATTTTTGTTTCTAACGCAGAGTAATCTTAAAAATTTAGAAATACTTGGGTTGTTTTGAAAAATCCATTTCTAACGACTCTTGAGTCACTAAATTCTAAACTGTGTTTCAAATGGTTACAGCTAATGCTGGCGTCTTTGATTTTGTCAATAGATTTACAAGTATATGCAGTCTCAGCTTCTTATTGATGAATTCAGTCTAAATCGTATCTTTTTTCAAGCTACTTCAAAGAGATAACTTCATATTTATTGTCATACTTTTAACAGTCTCTATTTTTTGTTGTTTAAGAAGAAACATGAAGCAATAACATATTATCATCGGTTGATTAAAACTTACATTAACTTTAATAATACAGGCGATATAAAAGATTTAAACAATATTTTAAATCTTCCTATATTATACACTTTCATAAACTTTCTTCAGCTTTGTTGTATCCATGGTGTATAGATAGACTTTGGAAGTTATTACGAGAATGTGTGGTCGATCGCCAAAAAGGACAACGGACGTGCGGTCTCGTTTTGTTCCATTCAATCTCATGCGAATTTAACGGACAATAAACTGCGTAAAATTGCCCGGCGTTACGCTCTCCTTGTATCGATGATATAAATTCGCCCGCAAAGTGTGAAAAATGTCGATCATTTAAGATTTATCAATCGGCGTCATCGTTGCCGCCGCCGATGAAGTTAATCGACTATTTTATGGATTTACAACATATTTAAAGGAATTTGTTAACATATTATTAATTTGATTTTTTTTTTGTTTTTCAGATAAATCAAAACAAAAATTTAAATAATGCAAATCCTAAAAACATGAATTTAATCAATGATCTTGAAAAAGATAGTGACTGAATCTGTGTGATGTGACGCTACTGGATACCTGTTTATTAAATAACGTGCAATAATTTACGCCAAACTTAGAAATAATCGTTTAGAATTAAATATAATGCTCAATGATAAAATATCCTCGAAAGAGGAATTAAAGCTCATGAAGAAATATGTTCCTGTACCGAAACAATTACATGCCAATGTCTAACGAAACATCTTCAGATGGTTACGCATCCCCTCGAGTTTCCAGTCCAGAAAATTCTTACACGTACACATTGTCGAGTCCAAGAAATTCGGAAAGCAGTATGTCGTCACAACCTTACATTCCGAATTGTTATAAACAAGGTGATTCGTGGAGTCGGCAGCAATATTACGGGGAGAATAACAACGTTTATCTCAAGTACGAATATAATAAATATAAAAGAGAAGATTCGAATATGAATAGTTATTCGCAAAATTATTATAAATCCAATTTGGATAATAAGTATAGTTCGAAGAATAGTAATAAGGAGCCGAAGAAAAGCGTTCCACCGCAAGGCGGTCTTGAGATAATGAGAAAAAGACGATTAGCAGCAAATGCTAGAGAAAGGAGGAGGATGAACAGTTTAAATGACGCTTTTGATAGGTTAAGAGATGTTGTGCCCTCTTTGGGAAATGATAGAAAACTATCAAAATTTGAAACGCTGCAGATGGCACAAACTTATATAGCAGCTCTTCACGAACTCCTACAGAGGGATTAGGATATTGTTGAGTATTATTTATTTAAGTTTTTAATACAATACTTTGTTTAAGTTTTTTTTTTAATTATTATTTTGCTATTTTCAAAGCGTTGTGATTTTAACGTATTAAGAGGACGATGATTTTTTTTTCGTAAATATGAACCTAATGCTTCGATAATAACCGTTTTCAAGAAAAAGTAATAATAATCTTTATCTATAGATAAAGTTTCTCTTATTACATTTTACAATAATTGCATATCAAATTTCTTACGGATCTTAAACTTTTAATTAAGTTTACCTATGAAATTTAATACGTAGTTGTTATGATAAATTAATAAAGGAAAAGTTGTTGTACTGGTTGAAAGTAACGTTTAAATTTACAAGGTGAAAGTCGACGCTATAATTATTCTAGACAAAAGACAGTTTTCATAAGTTATTTTAAAGTTATGATCAGAAAATCAAAATTATTTTTGTGCTTTCAAGGTATAATTTAAAATCCTCTTTGACTTTGTAGGTTTGAAGCTTTACTCATGAACTTTGACAAATTTCTCGTGTTGAACAGTGTTATTATTAAGCATTAAACCCATAATTTAAAAAAATCATCGTCCTGGAACTGTGTGCAATATTTTCTCTATCACTTAATTATTATTTATCATTGATAATTATATAAGACGATATCATTAAAACTATAAAACTTTCGAAAACGCTTAAAAACAATAACATTGATCGACAAAAATGAAATTTTAATTTGTCACATCAACTTCTTAAGCATTTTTTACTTTATTTTGATTCCCTAAAGTGGAAAAAAGGTGTAGAAAAAATTTGCTACCCATATTTTTTTGTGACAGGAACTTGACTGAGACTTTATTTACAATTAAACTAAAAAATATGTTTCTTAAAACTAAAAGTTAAGATTTTCTGTAGTATTTGACTTGAGGCTGATCTATGGACACAAAAATCTGCCAACATACGATCGATACTCGATCTACCTTGTTACCGTTATTCTGATATCCTGAAATAACCTGATGAAACCTTTTTCCATATTCTTCTCAGGAAAGAAGTCGAGATGGGAGTGTAGAAAGTGTATTTTGAGTGACAGATCAGTATCAGATCTTTGCAGTTACTTGCTTTATGGTTTCCCAAAAATTTTGGACTCAACTTTTCTTCGAATATGTTATCTTTAAACAATTGCCTGATCTTGAGGTTCGACGAAAATTCATTCCTTTATTTTTGCGTCCCTAATTTTAGGAAACTTTTTTTCAAGTAGAAGAGAGTTGGGTAAAACAGGATACTTGATCTTCGATAATTTTTTTCCAAAGAAAATTTTTTAATGATTTCTTTCTTTACAGTTTAGCACTGCTTTTGCTCTTTCTAAATAAATCAATTCTCTTGTGATTTGGTAATAGATGTAGCGGTCATAAAACTAAGTAAACTAAGGCAACCACTATTTTATTTGCAAAAATCGCATAAATACTCTTAATCCAGCCGTCATCTGATTTGGAGTTTAAGTAAAGTTCCGTACAAACTCAGAATATTCCTGAACAGCAAGTCTATTAAAACTAATATCTCGTGCAAGCGATGTTGACTCAGGATGTCTACTTACAAAACCATATTACCAGGATTTACCTTTTTTTTTTCTTATTCTGATTGAATGCTAATATTCTGACGACATGTAGTATGAAACCAAATAATTGTGCCTTCATAAAAAAACTTTCTTCATATTCTGGAGAGAATGTTGGTGTCTGAGTCAATTGTTTCTTCGATGACTCTGCGGTAAATTTCCTTATTTCTTTTAACTCTAGCTTCAAGAGTTACCCCATTTTACCCTCTAATACTTCCTCCACAGCTTGGTGGCCCAACTACCTGTTGTAACCAACTATGCATTTCAAAATAAATGATTATTTCTCGGTAAGAAAACATTATTTTCTCCAGGAGTAATATGCTTTGGGTAGTCTTTCTTGCAGCACCAATTTCACGTTTTTGTAAGTTTCGTTCATACCGGAAGCATATGCTACCGGAAGTGAGGAAAATCTATTTCCGTTATGCAACAGTACAGGTTTTAAATTGATTTTTGACGAATCTATAAACAAACGCCAATCTTGTAGTTCAAATCGAAAAGAATCGAAACATGGCACACCTTTGTATCTGGATGAAGCAAATTCCGTTCTTTTAATCTTGATTTTAATAGAGCAGACCGCTTTTTTGACAATTTTCAGTTGCCAACCCTATCGTTAAAATCAGCTTAAGTTACTAAATAAGATGTTTTACTATCAAGTACATAGGTTGGATCATTAATTTAATCTGCAATTGTACTACATGAAGATTATTGACTCACTACATACATAGCAAAAACTGTTAAGATGAATGATACACTTCCTTCGCATGTTGAGAAACTAACACTGTAAATTATAAGTGATTGTCACAAGAAATCTGTGGGTGACAGTAACAAAGTAATTTATTTTGTAGTGAGCTTATGTAGTAAAGTAATAATTAGCATTAAGAATCTGTGTGACAAAAACGTTGTCGATTAGTGTAATTGTTAATATTTTTGTGTTGTACAAAAACGATGCATATACAGATAAATTACCAACTATTTATTTCTACAATGTTGTCCCATAAATTTCTGAATTTTAATAGCATTGAATAGAAAATCTTGTGTGAATTATTCTCGAATAAGGAAATCATTTCTTTAAATGTGTGTTGTAATTATTCAAGTTTTTGCGATGTGATGATGATGATCAAGCTTTCACGCGGCGTTAACCAAATTCGTTTGCTTTATTCAAAATAGAAACGCGTTGCGAATTAGAATTATGCATTTGCTTAGATAAAAGTAAACAACAACTTTAAGATTCCCTTCGGGGCTAACGATCGCCGTCTTTAATTAATAGGTGGGATAAATAATAGCTCAATCATGGTTTAGTGCGATGGAACGGTACACGGTCGATTTGTACGGAGACCCGCGGTCAAACGGTGAATGCGGTATTATAGAGAGACGAGAAGAAAAATTATCGCTAATTTTTATTGCACCGGACGTCTATAAACTCTTATTAGATTTAATAACACCTAATCGACGCGCAATCCCAACTAGGAAATTTAATTTCGCTCCGTTTAACATCGCCTCAATCCTGGAAACGCTTCGGTTTACCACGATCTCAACTACTTTCAAAATACTTTTAAAAATACGTCTTTACCTTTAACTGTATTATATCCAGTTGAATTGTTTACAATTTTTATTTAACTCTTATCAATAATTAAAAGAAAAAATAAATAATTATAATGATTAGTCAATTTCAAAGCAATTTATTTAAGTAATTTGTGGTGATATACAATTATGTACGGTTACACGCAATAAAATTAGTTACGATTAGGCGTTTAGTTGAAACTTGGTCTCTTCTACATCACGACAGTACTTTCTCGTAGGAAACACTAAAACGAATATCTACCAACTCTAAAATTTACGTGGTAGTAAAAATAATGACCACTAACCGGCGTGTATACCGACGATTATATTTGAATATTAACGGGCACATCCGCATTCGTTAATAAGTTTATTACAACGTTAGATAACGCGGTCACTTTTTGATTTTAACCGATACATTTGATCACAAAAATAATGTGATTTCCGTGATCTTTACACGAATACAAATTAAATAGATAAATTAATACTAATCAGTGAAGAAGAACTTTACCGTTTAGATTAAATAGACACGCAAGAAACTTTTTTATTTCAATTAATATCTCGTTAGAGTTAACCTTTTCCGTTCTTAAATCTTCGCATAAAACGTGCCAACGACCTAACTATAACATCTAATAGTGTAAGGAGAAATAAATTAGTAAACGTTATTCCAAATTATACAGTTTAATACCCCATTTCCTCCTCTCATAATAAAAGATGGAAAAATCTTCTCACGATTGAGAGCAATAATCTGGAAGATGTTCACAAGCTTAACCCGCGCCGTCACTTCTTGACAGCTCATGTCAAACCTCCTCCTTCTTTTTTAGCCCAGTCCATACTTCACCGTAGTAGTGTATTTCTCTGTCCATTAGACCGTCATTATAATAATAGAAGTCCCCCAGTTAGTGGTCCGCTGTTCACATACTTTCTGTCAATTTTTTTCTTATTCATTTTTTTTTGTTTATTTCTTTTGGTTCTCCCTCATTCTTCCGCCGCGTTCGCGTAGATAATGACAATAATATAACCGGCGAGATGTAACGTTACGGAGTTCTATTTAATATAAGCTTTGTAATCATCATTATGAAGTGGGCGCTCTTCAACGACGACCAACGAAAGCGCTTCATAAAACTTTGAAAGCGATAAAATGACTCAATTGCTCCGTATAATTTATTCATTCGCTATATACCGTTAAGGCTATCGGTAGCCTTTAATTTTAATGGCTACGTTATTAATACCATCAAATAAATAACCCGAGTTAGATTTATCGTTTACAAAAGGTATACAGTGGAAAACTGGTCAACTTTACTGCTTTAGTGTGTGGCTTAAGTGAGGGGGGCAAATTTATTTGTCGGCTATAAATAATTATTTTCTAATTTGTATGGTAGGTTTAAATGTAAATTCCAGGAATTTGAAAAAAAAAAGATTGCAAACGGTTTTTTTGTTATTAAAAAAACCAATAAATTCATTATAAACAATTTTTAAAAGATAATATGTTAATTAAAATTAACATATGTAGATAATTTATTTTATATTAATTTATAATTGTGGTTAATGGAAGAAAAATACAAACCATAACCTAAATTATAGATAACCTAAACCGCGATAATATTTTGACTATTATTAACACATCCTGAAAGCAATTAAAAGTTTTTGACATATTGGACAGCACGAAAATTAATTAGTTATCTTCAGCAACAATTTCTTTTTTATTCATTATAAATCTTCATGACATGAATTTCATTACCAGACCCAAAACTTCTATTGGTTCATTTTTTCATATGGTTCATTTTCTGTTGTGGATAGATTTGCAAGATCTACGTTAGTTCTACACTTCAAAGCAATATATATTTTATCTGGATTGATATCGAAACTTCTATTTGCTATGATACCCTGGTATTTGATACCTATTTAGCTTATCATAATAATTTCCAGCGGCGTCC